GGTGCTGTGTGTACATAAAGAAGAAAAAAAAATTAATTAAATGATTTTAGCAAATGGCTGCAATATAACAAAGAGTGAAAAATTTAAGGGGGTCTGAATACTTTCCGTACCCACTGTATGTATATGTATTCATTTTAATAAAGCTTGATGTAATTTGGCCAGAATTTCAATGTGAGTGCTTCCCAAAGTAAAATGTTGTTTCCAAAATTGTATTGCAAACTTTTATATCCATTTTCCCTCTTCATCCCCACCTACCCTCTAGGACTTTATATCGTCCATTCTGTGTTTCCAGGCTGTTTCTGCATTACTAACCCTTCACTGTGGCATCTCTAATGTTGATTGCTCTGCGCGTCCACTCCTGCCCCTGCCATGCCATATTAGTGTTAGTAAGAGACGAATAGCTGGAAGTCCATGTCTGTTAATAGCAGGAAACCAACACTTAGCAGCGCACCACACTCTTGTCACCCACAGCCATTCAGTAATAACTGTAATCACTTTTCGACGTGCTGCGTTTGCATCTCTAGAGCCTTTTTGTGCAGGATGATATGAAGTTCAGGTTACAGCGGTGGGTGGTGGCATGGCAGGAGCTCTGCTTATGAGAGCCCATGACTATTCACTCTCTCCCACACACACACACACACACACACACACACACACAAACACAAACGAGCATTTGCAAATGCTAAACTCAAGCATACATGCTGCGCACAATCTGCAACTGTCTTTGTAAATGTGGACAATATGTCTGACTGTCGTACAGGACACCAGGGTTTTTGTTCCTCGACAGGGAAACTTTGCTCAAGACTGGATATCCGAAAGGTGGTTCACTATAAAAAATAAGTGAACCTTGAATATTTGCCATGTTGCCCTTGAGCAAGACACACAAATATAAAATAAAATCAGTCATGTTGATCAAAACCTGTAAAAAATTTCTTTGAGGAAATGAAAAGGAGAATTTTGCAGAATTATTAGCTGCTCTTGTCCATTCAAGAACTTTTATATGAAGCATAGAGCATATTTTTACATTTATAAGTGGCTTTTTTGCAGTAGCTCTTAATTTTGATTGACACTTTCAGATGCCTAAACTTATTCTGGGCAAAAAACAGTAGCATTTAGAATGCATTGATTTCAAACCTGGAATACCATGTTTTGTTGTGACTATTTTAAATAATTGCAAATGAAATTTGACAGCTGTGGTTGGTTACGGTTAAACATTTTGATAGATCTAATGTAATTTTACAGTACAAAACTTAAAATTTAGTATTTGGAAGTGGAAACGAATAAGTCATCTTACAATTTGAAGTGAGAAACTGTACAGAATTCATAGAATTCACTATTGATTTGATGTTTTTCATTGGAATAACTATGTTTTTTAGTCTTTTGCTATCAGCTGTGTACATTAGGGTAATGTTCAAATTAAAGTCATGTTTATTACATTATTTTAGTGTCGTGTGTTATCATGATGTTTTGTATTTGTGTGTATGACACAGAGCACCTATATTTATAGGTATAATACTATACATTAGTATTTATTTCAGCTTGTGAAAAAGCTATTTGTGGTGAGCTTTGAGTCTACATGTGGTTTTCTCATTTCCACCTGTGTTTTTCAGATGGTTGTTGTTAGTATATTATAAAAAAAAACAGGTAAAAACAGATTTTTAGTATATAAATATTATTTTACTTAATGATTTTTACTGTAAATTTAACTTTAGTAAAATGCTTTACTTTATTAAATTTGATTTTAACAGTATGTAGAACTGTAGAAATGCTGATACTTTTTTTTTCTTTTTTTCTTTTTTTCTGGCAATCACAGCTGCTATTTTTTATTTTTTTACTTCTTTTTTTACCTTTATTATATACAGTGTCTGTCTTAATGTTTCAGTGTTTTTTTGTTTTGTTTTGTTATGTTTTTAATTTTTGTCATCGTATCGAAAAGAGCTCTTCGATAAAGAATCGTAGAAAATCCACTAAAAAAACAACTGAGGGCGAGTAAATAATTGCTGAAACACCAGCCCTGGTTGTGAGATTTAAATAATATATAAGATATAAATGAGAATAAATAAAGATCTAGATCGTTGAACTAAGTGGAGTACAATTTTTATAGTTATACGTAGCCAGTGTTTCACTTTTAATAGATGAAGCTCGTCCTGTGTCTTGGTTTTATTCTTTAGTCACTCATTAAGCAAAGATATCTGAAGGTACAGACCAGTATTGACAGTAAGGGACATTTTTCCTAACCCTAAATGTTCTCTTTTAAAACAGTGACCTATGTGTGTGTGTGGGAAATGAGGACAGAGTGAAACAGAGGTGTTCAAGTGTGTGTGTGTTTCCTGTCCCAGTTTAATCTCAGCATTTCCACTGTCCCTTTTTCCACCACAGACTGGATTCAATTACTGCCCCTGCTCTGACCTTAAACCCCTTTGACCCCTGAGAGCAGCCCCATCCCATCCCCTGTCCTGATAGCAGCCCAAACCAGCCCTCCTCTCCAAACCTCCACTCTACTCCTCTGTCCTCTTCCTTTGTCCTTTCTTCTTCTGTCCTTTTGCATCCCTTTGTCTTTTTTTCCCAATACTGTTCACTTCATTTTCTCCTTACTCTTGTAGCTTGTCTCCAAACACGTATAAACTCTCTTGTTTACAAGTGTCCTCAGGTGGTCTCTGTACTGCTCCTTACTTTTCAGTGCTGTGTAATGATGATTAAGTCAAGACTGAGCCAAGAATAAATGTGCAGAAGGAATACTGTTACTTTAATGAAAGAGTTTATTAATAATTGAGCACCTTTTACAAAACAGCACGATAGTAAAGGGTGCGAGAAGAATATTGCTTGTTACATTTCAATGCTGAGCCCTGTCAGTCTTGCCAACACAGTCTAATGACAAATTATACAGTAACTATTTTAAGTTTAGGCAAATTGGTAGCAAATTTATAATAATCTATCAGTTCATCAGTGTCCTAATGTTTGGTGCGTCATTGCCCTTTGTGTTCACGATTTACTGATTCATGTAATGGGGAGCTAGTTAGTTGATTGACACATACACAATGAAATATAGATTGTTTTTGTTTTGTCTGTGTCTCAGCTCTTTTGGGAATCATTGGCACATTTTAACAATCATCTTTGGGTCTATAATGCCAAAATATGCTGTCTAGGTTTGCTAGGTTTTGAGATCTTGGAAACTTTTTTCCACCATTTGTTAGATGTAATTGTTCTCCATTTTTGAGATCAGTATTCATCTGGTGCTCTTTTTAATGGGCCAATTTCCCCTGTATTTACTCATTGATCGGCTAACCTTGCACTAAGCTACAGTCGATGATCCTTAAGCCGTCTCTGTATCTTAATCACAACACAGATACCTGTTAATTACCCAACCAGTTCAAGTGTTTTCACTGCTTAAAGAGGGATTTGGGATTGATTGCGTTGCGTTAGCTGCGGGTCCCAAGTGTGTGTTTGTGTGTGTGTGTGTTTATGGTTGTCTGTGTGTGTGTTTATGGAGAGAGAGGGAAGGATAAAGCAGAATGGATATTTATAGGCTTTTGAATGGACAAGACGGCTTGGTATCGGGTCAGGGATAAACCATGAACTTATAAACTCACAATGGGGCCTTGATTTCTCTGTACTTCTTTTCTCTCTTCATCTTAGCTACTTTGTTTTCCCATTCCTTCATTACCTACATGTTTGTCGCAGTTTCTTACTGGAATAACCCCATTTCCATAGTGTATTGGCTCATAAAAAGTAATGCGTAACTAGTGCCCAAGCACAGAATTCAAATTGCATACTTCAAGATTGATACTTAAAGCTAACTTCCAGGCTATAGTTTCCAAAACTCTTTTAGAATAGCATATTAATTGTATATTCTTGGTAGAAGGTATTGGTTTTCATTTTCACAATTGAATAAGTGAGCAATTCAATTGTAACATTGCATTGACTGCCATGGCTAAAGTCAAACGGGTCAGGCTACATGTCTCAGACTCAATGCTGAGCGTTTCAAGACAGACCTACTATGTTGCATGTTCTATGTTCCATGTTCACTGTTTCTTACTATAACGCGTACACATCAAATTACTCCTATCATACTGCAGTCTTCAAAAGACCTCCAGGCAAGAATCAGAACCCCTGATGTGAGCTTTCATTTGTGTTCTGGTGTGATGCCAAAATTTAAATCTATAAATAGTTAGGATTGTCTGTAGTACTGTAAAATTCAGTTGATTTTATGGACTAGTTAGCCTTCAAGTCTAGTGTGTATGAGGTAATGCATCTAAATTAAAGTTGGCAGGGAATGAAAATTCAACCTACTTTCTCTATGCGTGGTATAGATCATATTGTGAACAAAAAAATTGTTTATTATTACTGTTTGAAAAAAATGACCTTGTATTAAGTATGTAATAATGCATCCCGAGTTTAAAATCAATGAAAATATGTGATGATTCAAGTTGGATGTTAAACGAATCATGATACAATGTGGGGTGGGGTTTTATATGAATGTATCTCAAGGGGAACTGATTGACTGATGGTATATATATATTTTTTTTCATCTTGCCTCTGTATAATGCATATTAAAGTAGTGTTTATAAGCGCAGCGCTGCTTTGTTTAGAGCAGTAACCAAGGAAAAGTTGTATTGCGGCTGTTCTATAAGCACCACCTACTGTCAGAGAGTGAATTTGCATTCTCATTCTTTTATGTAGGCCTAGTTAGCATAATTTCACAAAGCTAAAATCAGATCATTCTGTTTTTGCTTCAAATGCATTTTCTGCACAAGCTGCATTTTCTTTTGGAAAATGTGGACATGCTGAAAGAAAAGAAAACATGTAAACAAAAAAAAAGCACAGGCAAAGTTAGGGCTGGGCGAAAAACGTATCAACGATATAATGTTTCATATCGTTCGGTATCGATAGTTATTGACATTTTCTATAACCCTTTTTAAAACAAAGAGCAATATAATTTTTTTTAATTTAACCACTGTATTTTAAATTTACTCAATTTATTAAGAAAAAATTTTTTTTGTTTTGTTTTAACAGTCAAACACAAAATAAAATTTAAACAAATATCTCCTTTCTTATGTTTTATATGCAGATTAAATAAGTCTTAAGGAAACTTTTGTCTTGTCTCCCGAGGCCACAGGAGGGCGCAATGAGCAAAATAATGCAGCGCATTAAATTGTTTATTCAGTGCAATGAAATAACAACTGTCTATAAAAGACGTGCGTAACGTCTAAATTAACATATATAAATCAAATACAATTTTGTAAATTGCATAAACAATTATGAACAAAACAGCATAATGTATTTATGCATTGCTTAATACAAAGAGCCGAAGCGCCATTCACGCAGATTGCATTTAAAAACATAAGTGAAATGAGACGCAGTGAAATGGAATAAACCTTCACAAATTTGCAATGTGTTTTCTAAAAGTTAAAATTTTTTTAACTTTGCATGGCTACATCTCTTGTGTGAGACGCGAGTGCAGCAGTCATATTTGTCCGTCTAAAAAATGCGCTGAATATACGTTCAGTGTGACTGGCTTGGTTTCGGTTTTAACCTAATTAAGATCTCCTCTGCATTGAGCTACTATATTTCTCTAATATTTTGAATGCATAACGCAGCAGCGGCGCATCTCGCGGTCTAGCCTAACAAAACATTATTTAAAATGCAACAACGTCACTTACATCATCACCGCATCTCGTGCGCCACTGATAAGGCTCCCGGACGCACACATAACATTCGATTGCACCGTTTTTGCATTCAAATGCAGTTTTTTTTATTTTAAATTTGACTATTATTCAT